GTTTAGGGTTTAGGGTTTGAACCCCGGTCCTGCCACAGAGTCTCTTAGCAGCATTGCAGCAAGCTCGTTGGAATGCTCGGTCAAGCGAAGCTCCTGCGAGGAGCGCTGCTCCAAAAAAGCAAACAACAGGGACTTTTTCTGGGGGATTGAGATGGCTTGTCAGAGGCTCTACGACACTACGTAATAGTAACAAGTATAAGAAGATAATGTGACATAACTACGAGACATAGTAGCAGCAATAACAACAAAATTAATGACAACAACCACATCGCCGAGGCTGCACATGGTCTTTTCGGATTCCGGCTAGAGCGGCTGTATAACATGGCGGGGGCCTGAATAGCTAGATGAAGACATCCATGCTGCTGACTATTCCGGCGGCTTCTACAATGTATAAACTCTTGTGCGTGTTATATGAGGGTTTGCGTTTAGGCATTTGGACTTCTTAATAGTCCAATGCCCAAAAACGTCCTTCACATATCTGACTTCAGCTCTTAAAACCCTAAGGCTCTAAGGTTCCAGGTATCTGATAATCCTCTACATATTCCCCGACATAGTTACCTACAAAACTACTACCCTAAACCCAAGCTCCCAATTTTTGTCTGTGGCGCTTCGCAAAGGGCAAGAGGTTCAAAGTTTATACGGAAACACTGTTACTGAACCCTAAACNNCTAAACCCTAAAACGCTGAACCCTAAACAGAACTCCAAAGGCACCGTGCAGGTTTGTTGATTGCTCAGACGCACAATATGAGCTTTCGGGGAGCAGGCCATTAATAGGGTTTAGGGTTTAGGGTTTAGGGATTAAACCCTCAACCAACAGGGTGATGCATCTCACTGTTGCCGCGTGAGACTGCATCAACTGGGCCCACCCATGGATTTCCTGCCCGAACCGAACCATGGGGGAAAAGACACAGTAACCAACTGCGCCCACCTCAAGGTCTGGGGTTACTCCTAAACCCTAAACCCTAAACCCTAAACCCTAAACCCTAAACCCAACCCCCTGACTCCACTTGGGTGTTGTGGGATTGCCCCACATCGTATCCTATAAGAGCTACGATCTGAGGCATCCTCGCTGCACCCTAGAGCCTCAAACCTAAACCCAAAACCCTAAACCCTAGACCTACAAGACTTCCCTAAACCCTAAACCCTAAACTTGAGGGTTAAGGGTTTAGGGCCCTAAATCTAAGTTTAGGGTTTTGGGTTTAGGGCCCTAAATCTACACTCCTATTCAGCGCAGCTGTCGAAGTCCTCGTCCAACTCAACCACTGCATCACAGGTCAGTTGCAGCAGGGCAGAGGCAGCCTAGGTTCCCCTGTGTCCCCTTGAGAAGGCTTAGGGCTTAGGGTTGAGGGATTGCTAAGAAGGGTACCCTTCTGTTTAATGAGGGAACCACAAAACAAAAAATTGCAATCCCTAAACCAAAAGGCTACTGCTGGGGAACCTAGCAGCATTCAGTTGCGTCACAGCATTTCCTTTCTCCATGGCGAGTTCCACTCTCCTTGATTTCTTGCTGGGCAAGTCTGTTTTAGGGTTTAGGGCTCAGGGTTGAAGGGCTGCGATAGTAAGAGTATGCATGTGTTTATCAACCCTAAACCCCTAAACACCCCTAAACCCCTAAACCCTAAACCCTATAGTAACAGCCACCGAGTCTCTGCGCCAGATATGCATCGAAGACGTAAGCCGCAGAAACTAAGAGCACGAGGTGCAGGAACTCCATGCCCAGCACGGCCGACACACCACCATACATCTCCGCGCTCTCTTCCGTAAGAGCCCGATACGTGATTGTCCCGAGGAAAGGAAGGTTGCTTAGCAAGACAAGATGGGCTCTCCTGGCCATCACAATGGCTGGAAATCGGAAGAGGCTGAACACTATATATGCCACTCGAGTACCTGGGCTCGGAAGCACCGCACAAAAACTACAGACTTGATATAAGGAACTATGACAAGAACCGGGAACCCACAAAAAGCAATTAACATACTGCCCATACTCCTGCACCTTAAATTCGAACTCATGTAACGTCATCCAGAAAGCCCAAAGCATGCAAAAAAACCCAAGCAATGCAACGACCCAAACCCTAAATCCCTTTGTCGAACCCTTAGCCTTCATCCCTAACACAGTGTAAACCTTAGTGCTTTCTAAACCCGAACCAAGGTGCTCCCATCCAGGCTATCGACATAAGGCAGCACATAGGCCACCAGCAGCAGCGAGTAGAAAGTGAACCAAAGGTCATTTCCTGGGCTCTCAAGACTGTCGGGTTTACGGTTCAGTGAATTAGGGGTTTAGGAACTTTACGTAGTTAGGGTCCCAGGGTGGTCAACGCAATGCAAGAAAAAAGGGATCAGACAAACAAGCACGAAAAGATACTGTAAGTAGAACAGAACCCAGTTGCGTGCGATCTGAGGCACCACAAAAGCCTGGGCTTGTTTCAAGGCCTTTTGGGTTTGCAGGGTGTAGTAGTTAACCGTTTACCGCTGAGGGTTTAAGGGCAACCCAAAACCCTAGACCCTAAAACCCTAACTAAACTAAACCCTATACTCTAGAACCACACCACAACTCCTTCACTTTTGGGGTGAATCAGTGCGTGGGGCAATGCTGGCTATGCAGGATTTCGTCCATCAGCACTAGG